CATTTGTTTTATAACATAACATTGATACATTGTAGCTAAAGAGTTCCCTTTCATTTAGGAAATCTTACGCGACCAGAAAAAACAAGCGCGCGCGGAAAAATAGTCTTTGCATTTGCCCACGTCAGCAGCGTACACCCATGGGCAAATGGGGGACGCTGAATTGACCAATCAGAACGCGCGCTTTACTTTGGTTATGTTATAATAAGTATTTGTGCTTTTTCTTGTGTTAGATCATTCCAAGTGAGACCTTGTACCTCTGCTGACATAGAAGGCATTCAGTCGGTTATTTCACAACTGAATGGCGCAGATATTATAATGACGTGAGTACATCCACCAAAGGTTTGCAAAATACTGTAAGTTTATCTGTAGGAGGCCAGTCAGCCCTATTGACAGCTATCACATCAGTATGAATATTCTCCATACTGTTCTCTACCCGTTTCCTAAAGTGCTGACAAGGAAACTTTGTCTAATAGTCAAGAGCTTCTTTCGTTGCTGATCATTTTCTTTATTATCCTGACCATAAAGTTTGATTCAAGGGTGACGTTGTAAGGAGAAACTAGATGCTAGTAGCTCTAAGGAGTCAAAGAGTTCAGCAACATGATTTTCTACAACCTCGCACAAACCATTTCTATAAAATCGAATGTAGATTCGTGTAAACAATTTTCAATTGTAGGGCATGTTTTATTTTCCCGCTGTTCATGCCGATGACGAGAGTGCACGGACTTAGGCGTATCCGAGTAAATTTCCTGTGAAGCAAAGTTTAAACAACAGCAATTAAATAATTGCTTCGTGTATAAGCTGTGCGTTCGCAGAGAAATGAAGAAGTTGGGAAGTTCGGAGAGCCCTCAAGAAGTTAAATGTGCTCTATGCCACGCCTCGATTGGGGGGCGGGGGCGTTTTGTTTGTGTGTGTTCACTTGCCGGTTTTTCTTTCCTCTGCGTTTATTTTTTTACCCAATTTACCCAAAATAAGGGCCTGATGGGCCACTTGGCTCATAAACAGACTGCACCTTACCTTTTACACTGTAAATTTAACTTTTTGTCAAGTCAAGTTGGTTTTGATTTATAATTAGTACAGAGTTGTGATGGTCTTTCTCACATGATTGCTGCGCCAATATTTTTATTGCAGCGATGTTCAGCAATACAATAATGATCGGAGAGACCCGGTAGGTACATATAGTAAATACTCGGTATAATTTTTTTAATTCATGCAAGTACGATAGTGTATTTTTCGAATGAATGACGTAAAACCACAACCTGAACATCAAAAACATTATCAAAACAACCGATCAGAACAAAGATCAGTGTCACAAGGAGCCAATAAGAACTCAAAAGTAAAAACAAATAAGCGGCCCTAAGTGCCGGAAGGCGCGGATGACCAAGTCGCGATTGGTTTTAATTTCGAAATTGATTGGTAGAGAAAGTGGCGCGAATTTTCTGGACCAAACCAGCGGGACATTTGAGCCGAGACCAACGCCATCCCGTGCCACTGTCAACACTCTATTGAAAATTTTCTTTACCAGCCGTTTACTTTGACCATCAAGCCAGACCTACGAATTCTCGCACGCTGAAACCTCAGAATCTCGAAGATGCCATTCTTATCCCCTAGACTGCTTGCAAATAATATTTATCATGTCTTTTGTCTTAATTTTGGTCATGAAATGAAGAAAGTTTAGTTTAATGGTGTCTTTCTTTCTTATGGTTTATAATCTTTAAACATAAATTTCCTTTTACGCGTCTTAACAGGATGGTACAGAAATCCAGTGCTTTGTAGCTAAGAGTTTGGATCAAGTTGTCGGCGTCGCCCTACTTAGGCGAGAGGAGGTATCCGTTTTTCCCTTTCTTTCTCATTTTTCCGATTAGTTTTAACTGAAGTAGAAAGCCTCGGTTATACAATTTTAACCATTTCAGCCATACAGGTATTGTTTACTGTTTTTCCTTGAAATTTTGTGCGTGAGATAGGCCAGCATTGATCCCCCTACATATTCCGTCGTTTGAGCAGACATGGAAGCTGCGTTACGTACATCCGGGTCAGAAAGTTTGCTTTGTACTCGCTCCATTCGTTATAGGGATGAAACTTGAAAACACCGGAACAACTGAAACTGTATCTTTCACGAAATATTAGCTCAGTAATTTCTGTAGAAAACCTCTCTCGTTTTTAAGTTTCAATTTTCCTCTCCCATCCCCTCCCCCCCCTCCCCCGCCTTGTATTATTTTGTATTCACGCGTGGCGCGCTTGATTTTACAAATAACCAATCACGTTAAAGAACTTTTACCTTGACATTGAAAACTGACGTGGACATTTCGCGCGTTTCTTGGTTGTTGTTTCTTTTTTACGGATTTAGTTTAGTTGTTGTTTTTGAGTTTTCGTTTATGCCAGGCTGTTATCCCTCAGTTTTCTGAAGTTTTTATCGAAGCCGAATGTTCTAGTTATTTCAACAAGTTAATACATATTGAGGGAGTTTGGACTCCGGTCAATTTTTTCGTCATTAAATTTTTACAATTTGGTTGAAATGTCCTACGTAAAGATAAATTTGTGCCCTCTACCTGTGTACGTCTTGGTTTGGGCTCCATGCAGAAGACAGCCTTCTTTTAACTTTCACCTTTGTCTTCATTCTGCTCTTTTGTAGGATATAGAATATATCCGCTCTCATTTCAACATTGAGGATTTTATTTACTTCAATCATCATAAAAGAGATGAACATGGCCATCTGTTCCATTTTGCCCTTAACCCTGTATTTCAACAATATTCCAAACACTTTCTAAAGGTAGGATGTACATGTAGAAAAATGTTCCTCTTCTTCTCCTCCCCTTTGTGTTCTTTTTGTATTCACGCACTAAGCGTGACTTTACAAATTAGCCAATCACGTCAAAGAAATGGTCAAACTTTAACCTTGACATTGAATATTGAAATGGACATTTTTCTCACGTATCTCTTTGTTTTTGTTTTCGTTTTTACGGATTTAGTTGTTTTTTTATTTTTGAGTTTTCGTTCAAGCCAGTTTGTTATCCTTCAGTTTGGAATCTTTAAGAATTTTCTCAGTTTTTATTTAACCCGAAGGTTGTGGTTATTTTAATACATATAATATTTGATACATATTTTTGCGGAGTGCGGGCCCTAGCGGTTTTTTTTTTTTTTTTTTTTTTTTTTTTTTTTTTTCTTTTCTTCTTCTTCTTCTTTTCTTCTTCTTCTTTTACTGTAAAAACTCGTTATTAGAGTTTTTACAGTAAAATGAGATATGTCCATAAAACATAGTAACGAACACGGCAGACTTGACGAAATTTTGTTGACGATTTTGATGGATTTGACGTAACTTGTCAAACTGTAGAAATGTTTTCAAAAGTGATGATTCTGACGCAATTCGCCAAAATCGTCAAATCCATGGCCATTCACTCGGTTTGACGAAATTTCGTCAAATCTGAAATTTTCGTTACCGCGTGAATCAAATGCATCAACAGCTTGTTACTAGTGAGTCTGGTGTGACTTTTGACAATCACGTTTGACCATTTCATGTTTCTCTCATTATAGGAGGTCCTAAGACTGGCTCACAAATCTTGCCTGTATTACCCAGTCTCTCCAAAATACACGGAAACACAACGAGTAAGTTAGCATCGACCTACAAACAGTATTTACGTCAAATATTATTTTTGCGCTCGCGATTGACATAAACATTTCGCGTGGCTTAAAAAAAAAAAAACCTTCGCTAGAACTGGGAAACATCTGGTGATATTCCACAATCGATCAATCAATCAAAACTTTATTTACCCACGTAGCGTTAAGGAGCTCGTAGAGCTCGTTCAAAATACGTACGTGCCTCTAAGATTAAGAATCTAAAAAAACCTAATACATACTGTCAAGACCTAATAGATTAGAAATTTGCGATGAAGTCCTTTTTTTAAAATTAAACTCGATATGTAAGAGTGTTTAACGGTCCTAAGACGCAAATTTCTTCGCTAAAGAACTCCTTAAAGAGAACGCCGAAAGTCAACATCCCATGTTGTAAACATACGGGTGTATTTGACGCTGAACTATTTTGAAACATTTATCCTCGCGCTCAGAAAAAAAAATTGGTAAGATAGCAATCACGCTAGTCTTCCTTTGGTTTGGTAATATGCTTGACCATTGCCTCTGGATATTCTCTGTTTCTGGAAACTTAAAGTATTCGTCAAGCTTTGCTCTCGAAAGCCTGTTCGCTTCTCGGAACTGATAATGTTCGCCGACAACCAGCAGAGCATATTTTCAGCACCTAATGGAAGCTGTAGGTTTCATTCTGAAGAGAGATATTTCCATGAAGCTTTTATTGTAAATCTTGGACCATATTTAGGTTGTTTTGTACTTGTCTCCAGGGCTCCAAACCCCATACGACTGCGACGGCCCTTAATGACTTAGTCCCAATCAGGTGAGTGAAGGAATTTCATAACCACATGAAAAGTTGGACCTCTCCGCATTGGACTCCCTGTGGACACAGGAAAGTTGTAGAGAGGTAGCGGTTAAAGAGAAGAGTGGGTGTAATAGGACACATGTTTGTTCCAGGGTACTCAACTTGTCAGAATTTGGTGAACGTAGCGGTCAGTTCGCCTAAATCTTGATTGAGCTTTAAATATCCATTGAACACGCTCGTTGTCGAGAAGTTATTTTGGCAGTTAAGACGCCCTTTAGGGCGTTGAAGAGATGTTTAGTAAAACTGAATACACGACCATCCGCTTGGAAAAAAATGTACGAATATTGTAGCGAGAGCTGGCCGACAGTGGGGGCTCTACTATATTAAACGTTCAAGCGAATTTTTCCCTCCATGTCTTTCTGATGAAAGTGATATGCTCTTATCACAGAGCTCGTCGTCAAATCATATACCCAGTGGATCAACTGGGCGGAAATGCTCCATCAGATAGAATCTTAGCAGAGAAGGTAACTTGATATATTTTTTATTAAAGCAGTTGTAAAGTTAATGGCTTAGAGCCCGATATGCAAAATGACCCAGTAAGAAACAAGGACAAATCCACGTGAACCACATTAAGCGCGGGAAGACGCGTGTGGCCAAACTGCGATTGACTTTATTCTTGCAGCTGATAGGTTCGTATTCTTTACTGAAACCAATCACAACGTTATGAGGTAAACCAAAACCAGTCCACGATTAGTTTCATCATTCAGTCCAAATTTCGTTCATATTTGTATAAATTATATATATCAAATAGCTGAATACAATGAAGTTGTTTCCCATGCTTCTTGCAGTCTCTTCGACCATTACGTCTCAGATGCAAGGCCTTAGATCGTTCTGTTTGGAGCTGTGGAAGATGGGGATTCCTAATAATCTGTTTTCATTCTTTTTTTTAATTTTTTTTTTTTTCAGGAACCCTTTGCTCTGACTCATTTAAACAGAAAATTGACTTTAGAACCAAAGGTTTGTTTATCTTGTAAAATGAACTATACACCTTTTAATTTTAACCTTTCGTAACTAGTTACGGCATACGCGCTGTCCCACATCCGATAAGAAACAGCTTAAAACCCACTCAAACAACTCAATGCTTCATTGATACTGAATTGTATTTATCTGACATTCAGACTGTCAACATGGTTGCAATTAAGCATTTTGGGCTTTTAAAATTAGATTACACAGTTTTTGCGCTTTGCGTGTGTTTCTGTAAATATGTTTCCCGCGCTAGTATCCTGGTGAACTATATTACTTCACTATTTCAACATTTGAAGTGATATTATTTTTCCCGCCTTTTTAACCAAATACTTGTTTGCCACGCTGTACATGATCCGGACGTTCTCACCCTTTTGACCGGCGACACGTTTCCGCACCTTGTGCGTGTTCCTTTCTCGCGCCTTTTTAACTGACAACTTCGCTCTTACTTTGTTGGGGTTAACTTTATTCAGGCCCTACACCAGTGCATTCGCAGTGGTAACAATGTTCCACTCATTCGCTTCCAATTTCGATTTGTCTCGTGTTTCGGTTATTAACTTTCTCTGTGTGTGCAGATTAGTTGTAATTATATCGCACGAACTATCGGTATTGAAAAGATTTAAAAATGTAAATACTTCTTTTCAATTTAATTATTTGATAGGTCACTATTAATGCTCGGATCGTCGTGGTAGGAGCATCGGATGTGGGAATATCTTTCCTTGAAACTCTCTTGTTTTGGTAAGTGTGCCTCCTGTGTCTTGTAATCTGTTGTCACCCTGATAAAAACGTTCTCAGTTACACAACGTATCTCAACACAAAACTGTTGAGCTCAGCAAACACTTGACCAATCATACGGAAGCGGAAGATTATTGATGGCGTATCCGGTGGAGTGAGAAATTTCAGTAAAAATAAGTGGGCGACCTCAAGTATGGGACAATGCGAGACACTGAATCACGTTGAGAATTTGTAAATCAGATTGGCTGAGTTAGTAAGAAAAGGAATCACTATTTACATTACTTCTACACTACTGAGAATTGCTTACACTCAAGTTTGAATCAATGAAAATTGTAGAGACATGCGTTTATGCGCATTTGATCATATGTAAATGGGATTTGCGCACTACAAATATTAAACTATTATTATTATTATTATTATTATTATTATTATTTAAGTTACATATATCGAAAACTCAGTGAGCGTTTTGTATCTTATCAGTTGAGCTTCCTCACATAGAAAAAAAATAACCCGGGATAGATAACTTTGATAAGAATTTCGCATATCTGGATATGATAATAATTGTGAACCTCTTTTATATTTTAGCCCGCATCTCCGTTTCAATAATCTAACACTAGTATCAACTCATGGTTTACCAGGCCAGCTGCCTCCTGACCAGCTGCGATCAAAGTGCCTTCCTTCCAGGTATTCGTAGTTTTGGTTTCATTTGCAGTGTCTAATCCGGTGAAAAGAGTAAATTGTTTGGCACGTTTCTCGAAAGTCCCGGTAACTTAACGGGCCCGAAGCCATGTTTAAAATCAAAATTTAAAGGATAGGAAAGCAGGTTCTGGTACCCAAACCAGTCCTTTTTGTTGCTTCAGCAGATAGTTTTATTGTATCATTTTCAAAACTTATGAAATCCCCATCTTGAATGAAAACAGAACAGCTTTACGGGTCCGTTAAGTTACCGGGACTTTCGAGAAATGGGCCCCAGCAGGTTTGAAGGAACCAGTCTTGGTCAGAGGCGACGAAGAAACTCGACCCTAGACTTTTCAGATTTTCTAGATCGGAACACAGTTTGTTTTAACGAGATTACTTGCTTTTCCCCTCCCTAGTCTTTGCTATACTCAAGACGATTTCACTCACATGGCATTGGAAACGTGGATCAAGGTTGTTGAAGGAAAAGTCATAGCACTTGACAGGTATGAAGAAATTTTTAACCCTTTCACTTCCAAGATTTTATTAGTAATTCTCTTTGGTATCTTCCATACAATTGTTATAATGTTAGTTTGGAGAATTTGGTATAAGATCAGCTAATAATCCCCCGTTGATGTTTTTATTTATTCTCTTCACTTGTCTGCTTGATATTGTATTGATATTGTAAGAAGAAATTCTTTCTTGATCACTAATTGGAGTCAAAGGGCTAACCAAGTGGTGGTGTTGGTGTGAAAGGTCCTTGCTTCTTAAGAATAAATGTTTTAAAATCCTTTCTTGGTTACAGTGGATAGCTGTTCCTGAGAACTTCGTTTGATACCTAGTTGCGTAAACAGAATCGTTAAACACGATAGGATAGATTAGATTGCAGATGTTCAGGACTCGACACTAACTTCTCAACTTACTAGCGAAGTGGCTCGTGACAACTTAGATGTTGCAACAATTTCAGTTTGTTTACTAGCCAAACTGGTTGGTGGAAATCGAAAACCACTGGCCAAAAAACTGAATTTCTACTCGTCAGTGGCTAGTTGGCTACCTTAAGTGTCGAGCCTTGGATGTTTTGCTTCAGCTAACAAAATTCATTACAAACTTTCCACCTTTAATAACAGCAAGCAACTCGTGAAAACACTGGTGTGGTTGGAAATCTCTGCGATAGATTTACAAAACAAAAAAAAAATACAACAAAAAAATTCCCGATGGGACTTGACGCACTCTGCTTTCGAGAGTATTAAACCGCGGAACACAGCTCTAAGTAATAGAATCCTCACAAATTGTTTTCTTTCGTTTTTATCATCTACAGAACAAACAAAGTCGTCAAAGTGAGTGAGGGAGCCTTTGTTCCTTATGATTACCTTATTCTTTGCACTGGTCAGCAGTTTCAAATCCCAGTACCTAGTGGTGCTGATATCTCCACTTTAGTTACTACCAGTGAGGTGACAAAACCTCAAGTATCACGATACATGGGCCCTCTGCCATCTACAGTGTTCACTGTTAATACCGAAAGAGACTGTGAGAATGTGTTGAGTTTTATCCGGGGGGAATTTCTTACAGGCGAAGGTAAGCTATACAGGTTATAATGGTTTCTATGTAGTTACTGGTAGGAGATGAAGTCATGTGATGTATTCAGGAGAAAAGGATCATTTTTTTTCAATGGGCTTCCTTTTGCGATAGAGTCTCCCGGTTAGCTCAATGGATAGAGTGCTGGACTGTTGTGCGGGAGGTCTAGGGTTCAAGCCCCGGCCGGACCAACACTCAGGGTCATAAAATAATTGAGAAGAATTTGCTACCTTTCTATAACATCAAGAAATGGTTAGATATTCTGATCTTCTTGGATAGGGACGAATAAATGGAGGTCCCGTCTCCTGCAGGGTTGGGGGTAGGAGATGTTAATTTCCAACACACGAGATTACTGTGTGATGGATGTCCTCCCCTGGGGTGGGATGGGTGGGTTTATTTACAGAGGACCATGTGTTAGAAAACTCTTTACTGGGTTAATCATGTATTTACCCTCTTGAAATAAAGAACATTGTATTGTATTGTAGCCAATGGTATATACAATTTGATAAACAACAGCAGAGGTCGCAAAAGGAGCATCCCTCCGTGTAAAATTTTACAAGACCATATATCACACTTCAAGTTTCTTTGAGCATATGCATCTTTTGTTCACAAATAGATACGTGTGTGATGTGAGTTACATTTGAGGAATGTTTGTAAGATATCAGTTTACTTAATACTCCTCTCTCCTAAAAAACATCTTCATAGTTCAGTTGGTCGCAGCGTCCAACTAGTTTATACCGGAGGAACACGTTTGGTTTGGGCTTCTTTTCTTACAATTTCTCCAATTTCGGTCAAGTCGGGGATTATTTCGCCATTCATCGAGGAATTTGTAAGAGGAATTTTCAATGGGGTGCTAAAGTAATTTAGGACTGCTTTTGGTTTTTTCTTTACCTCGCTCTGCGATTGGTCAACAAATTTAGCGCCATCTTCCCAACCAATCATAAACAAAACTATAAACAATAGGAACTTGGTCACTCACGTTTCCCGCGCTTCCAGCAGTTTGCCTGTTTCTATTCTAAATTCTTATTGGCTCCTTGTGATCCTTGTGATATTTTCCTTTCTTATGATTGGCTGTTGTGATTGCTCCATCAAAAAGTGCTCTGCTTCAGTTATTTGTCCTAGGCAATTTTGTTTTTTCTTCAGGAAAAGCGCTTGTGTACGGAAACACTCTGGAGGCTTTCTCCATGGTGCAAACCCTTCTAGCTGCGGGTCTCCCCGGATCACGTGTTGTGCTCGTGCAACCCCCAGTCTCGTTACCAACCTGTTTTAACAACCCGTTTATTGAGGATGCGGTTACCGCTGCACTACAAGAATGCGGTAAGAGTCTCTACACCTATCACTGTGCATGGTAATACTCTTTATTTACTCTTTATTTTCTTCGTTGTTTATGTTTTTTGCCCAGAGTTTTGGCCAAATGGTTAACATACATAATTAACAGTCATATTTTGTGGTGCAGTTAATGCCGCTTAACCTTAGCCTTTCACTACCAGCAGCGATGAATAAAGAAAAATATCAAACAAGAATTATAAGTAATGTAATGTGACAGACAGTATGAAAAGTACTACATAGATCTTGAAAAGAACTTTTTAGAGAAAAAGAAGAAATCTCTTGAAGTTTAGTTGAATTTCGTCAGGACTTTCCTACGAGTTCGCTAACGGATTTTACAAACTTCTCAAAATATTGCGAACTGGAACAGTTAAGCACACAGCGTTCTTAAATTCTGTCATTCAGCAACTGGCGTCGACCTTATATTTCGACTCTTTTCTGTAGCATATTATTCTTTTGTTCTAAAATCGTAACATTTCGCTCAGAAAAACAGCGTGCGAGTAGGTACCCCGTTGCTAAATTCAAATTATATATAAATTTGTCTACTTATTATACTGGATAATGTACTCGCATAAAAACCGCCTCTTGTTTGGGTTAGTTACCACAAACCGTTAAAGTCACTACGAACCGTTTTTAATTTTTTTTTCTTCCCAAAGGAGTGGCGTGTCATGTTGGCTTTACCCTGGCCCAGTGGAATGAGGGGAAGGTTGACCAGCCGCTGTCACGTGCTACATTTACGTCAGAAAACAAACCACTCAGTGTAGACTGTGAGGTAAGCTTCTTTGAGACAAAGATAAAAAGAAGAATCTTTGCACAAATTTACACGATTCTTTAATTGCGGTAGCCACTGTTGCTCTGTTAGGAACCGGGAACCCTTTACTTGGAGCGTTCAACTCCCATACTGAGCCTTTGTCACGATATTTTCACAGAATGGTTTATTTTTAGACTATCTTTTCCCGGGAAGCATGTCGGCGACCTTCCTACATGTTTACATGATGTTTCTGTTTTCATTTTTCAGGCGTTTTTCTGTTTCCAATCCAAGAAGGTTGATCACGACGCATTTAAAGGTAATGTTTTATTTTTACGTCATTGCTATATACTATTTAATTGAATATTTGTTCGTTTATTGATTCATTTCTCCATTCATTTTAGCCATTAATGACAGCTGTCTCGTGTTTGACGGGAGATTGGTCATCGACGCAGATTTCCACACAAATGACCCATGCATCAGGGCTGCAGGGCCATTAACAAAATTCCAGCGAAGATACCATGCAGAATCTTGGTACAGTTTAATTGTCATAATTAGCTGTGTACGGTTGTCATAATTATTGGTAGCTTCTAGATTTCAATTTTTTTTTTCCGGGGGAGCATGCGCTCGGATCCCCCAAGGTGAAAGGGGCCTTACGGCCTCGTTTTCGGGCATAGGGGCCTATTGCACTTTAGGTGACCGCTCATGGAAAAAGTTGTTGAAACCCCTGGAAACTGCATTGCGTGTATTTATGAATTTTTGGCCATTCATTATCTTTGTCTTTTCATTTTCAGGACTCATGGAAACTTCAACTCCAAGGAGGTCGGCGAAGAACTGGCCCAGTCTTTGTTGACGCTGTTCGACCCCACCCTAGACGCCATGCTTCTCGACACGGAGACTCCACAAGAGCAGCAGTTACTGATACCAATATACACCAAACCGAAGACAATCTCTGCTATGTTGCCAGGTGAGGCGACCTCCACAGCTTAGAAAATTCAGCACACAATTTGTATCACTGCGTTCTTGGATATTCGTTGAAAAGAACTCGCGCTACACTCTTTATAATTTAGAAGAAAAAAGAAGAAACGAAAGTGACAAGCATTATAGACCAGTTTTGGTTGAATTTTGTGGTTGAGTGTTTTTTTTTAGTATTGTTCGTTTGCTTTACGTCACTCTGTGAAGCTAGCGCTGCCTTCAACCACTCTGTCACTCTCGCTTTAATTCAGCGTGTTCTCATACTTTTCAACTAGTTCTTGAAGCATAACTAGGAAAATCTTCGACTCACACATGCACTTTATAGCCTTAACAACTTTTTTGTAGCTTTGAACTACCCTTCCAAGACAATTAATTTGGTTTTACAACTTAAGAAGGGCTAACGCTTGAAACGTCAGATTTGGAAACTCCTCACGATGGCCAACTTACGTTATTAACACATTTGTGTCGTACAAATATCAAGAAATTTACAACTCTGTACCAAGGTCCTAAAATTTGGAACCCTTCCTGCTTTATTCATTCGTTAAGTCTTGCCAATATAAAAAGACGATAGTGTTTTTTATTTGAAAAATCACTGACTCGATCAGGACGCACATTCGCATCAGTTATTTTTTTAAATATGTTGTTGTAAGTGATGTGGTTTCTTCCTTATGCCCGGTAGTTTCTTGAGGTCTCCTCGCCTTATAATTTTAAAGCTGTAATTTTAATTTTTTTTTTCTTGTTAAAAAAAGGCAGATAAACGATGATGATGATGATGATTAAACGAAATTATCTTGTAATACCCCAACAACGCAGCAACACATTTTCTTAACAAACTTATCCTTTTTGCCTCTCAAGACAATCCGTTAATTTTGGGATACTTCTTACTATTCACGTACCACCTGTAATTTTGGACGTTTATTTAAACAACCGAAGTTTATAGTATTTTGCACGTGGGTAAACTTTCAAGTCAACTACGGCTAAATCCTTTCGCTCAGCAGAATATGGTCATCAATTAACTTATTAAATAGTAGGTGTACCTGTAAAGGCTTACAAATAATGAACGTAACGATCCATGTATTGCAGGGGGATACAATTATTTGCAAGTCGGTAAACCAGGCTTGAATATTCCACTAGACGCTCACATGGTTCAACCTGAATATGTAAGTAATGAGAAGGTGTTATAGAAAATATTGTTCTTTTCACTTTGGTTCTGTACCTGAATGAACGTTTAAACGTTTTTATCAGGATGTAGAGTCAGGTTATGATGCAGGTTATGACGTTTTTATCAGGATGTAGAGTCAGGTTATGGATGATGACGCTTCGACTGGTATACTACTAGTCTTTATCAGGCGATGGGTTCAAGAGTTTTGTGTCGCTTTTTATAGTACGTTGGTTTGCTGTTATTGGTGTGTTTGGCGCGTTGTCATTGATGTATTTCAATCCTCATTTTCATTACAACACCTTGTTATAGGGGTGTAGCATGCACCAGAAAGTATATCATTTTCATCTCCGCCATTAAAAAAATGTATCAGAGATTGCAGTATTCAAGCAGAGTACGACATTTTTTAATTTCGAAGACATGCTTCGATGTTACGAACATCATCGTCAGTTACAGACTATTTGAAAAACCGTTAGGACTATATAACAACTAGGCGAAACGTGCATAATTAATTATGATTACGTGACAAAAATTACATATTTGAGTGAGTAACAAAGTGTTGGAAAGGATATAGAGCCTAAAGCGTAAGCGTCATGTTGACGTGAAGAACTTGTTGGTTTAAATTGGGCTTTTCCCAGTTTATGTGCATAGCCTCCTTAAGTTTAAGTTGAAATTTAGGAGGGGCGGAATCAAGGATTTCAAAACAATCCGCA